GGTGGTTACAGAGTGGCATCTTGTTGTGGTTTTAATTTGCATTTCCCTAATGACTAATGTGGGTGAGCCCATTTTCATCTATTTATTGTGTATTTATGGATGAGAGGTTTTGGCAACTCCTTACTCATCTGACTCATCCTGAAGTTACAGCCAAATGGAATATAGTCTTTGACAGATGATGCTGTTTAGTCATATCTCCTTTATTGACTTCAAGTTTGGATTTTAGGTCCCCAGAGCATGTCTGAGCATTCTTCAAGTAATCTCTACACGCGTTGTGGAGCTCAAACTCATGACCCCGAGATCAAAAGTTGTGTGCTCCATCATCTGAGCCAGCCGAGTGCCCCTGAACATTCTTAATACTCATGACAGCTAGTATTTATTGAGAGCCCACCATGTTCCAGGCACTGGATGTTTGACATGCATCATGTCTCCTAATCCTCACAACCAGCTTATGAGGTTGCTACTGTGATTATCTGCTTGTACATATGAAGAAACCGAAGGTGGGGGAGGCTACATAACTTACTTGCTAGATTCAAATCAACACCCTGAGCCACTATAACACACTGACTCTCAAAGATGGAAACATTTGACCACGTTAAAAAAAAAAACAAACCTTTAAAAATGCTTAAAAACTAAATAATAAAATGGACACGTAACTGTCAAATGGAGAAAAAGAGTTGCAAAGTAAGACAAGTGCTTAATATGGAAAGAGTTCTTACAAACTAATAAGAGGACACAATAAAAAAATGGACAAAGGTTTCTGTGGTCAGCTAAGTCTGGGGAATTCAGCACATCTTTCACGTTCTTTTCCCCCAACAGTGTATCTAAGCAAATTCATGACTCTTAAGTGCCACACTAAAAACTTACTTTAGAAAGGGGAATCCTCTTACACTGTTGGTGGGAATGCAAGCTGCTACAGCTACTCTGGAAAACAGTACAGAGGTTCCTAAAAAGTTGAAAATAGAGCTATCCTATGACCCAGGAACTGCACTACAAGGTATTTACCCCAAAGATAAAAATGTAGTGATTTGAAGGGGCACTTGTCTCCTAATGTTTGTAGCAGCAATGTCCACAATAGCCAAACTATGGAAAGAGCCCAAATGTCCATTGACAGATGAATGGATAAAGGAGATGTGGTATATATATATATATATATATATACAATGGAATACAGAAAAAAAAATGAAATCTTGCCATTTCAAAGACATGGATGGAACTAGAGGGTATTATGCTAAGTGAAATAAGTCAACCAGAGAAAGACAATTATCATATGATCTTATTCCTTTGTGGAATTTAAAAAACAAAACAGAAGATCATAGGAGAAAGGAGGGAAAAATAAAACAAGATGAAATCAGAGAGGGAGACAAACCATAGGAGACTCTTAATCATAGGAAACAAACTGAGGGTTGCTGTGTGGGGGGATGGGGTAAGAGGGGGATGGGGATTAAGGAGGGCATGTGATGTAATGAGCACTTGGTGTTATATAAGACCGATGAATCACTGAGTGCTATCTCTGAAACTAATAATACCCTATATATTAATTAATTGAATGTAAATAAAAAATAAAAAATATTAAAAAGAATAAAATAAAAACTTACACAGCACTTTCCAAACCTATTTGAACAACATAGGCTTTAGCATCTGAATAATTACAATGCTTTGAACAGACTTTGAAGCCTGTTGAACTCTATAATAACCACTGCTTCCTCTGGTTTCTGGACTGGTAAGAGTTTCAACAAAGGAAATGAAATTAGTTTTGTCCCTGGTTTCTCAACCTAGACACTACTGACATTTTGGGCTGTGTAATTCTTTGTTGTGGGATTGGCTCAGGCACTGTGGGCTGTTCCCTGCAGCATCCCTGGTCTCCACTCAGTAGATGCCAGATGCCAGTAGGACCAACCCCACCCCCAGTTGTGATAACCAAAATTACCCCGTAGAGGCAGAATTCTCCTCCCCCTATGAGAACCATTGGTCTAGCCTGACTGATTTCTAAACAACCCATGATCCTCCACATGATACCCTCCTACCTAAGTGCCCCCAAACTGCATAGCGTCTCACTATATTTTAATTTCTGTGTCTTGTGACAGCCTCTATTCTTTGTTCAGAGAGTATCAGCCCATCTCTTTGGCTCTTTGGCTCTTCCTTGTTTGCTAGAACTCCTTCTACCTCAAGGCACAGCAAACCATGCGCAGTTCCCCAGACATGGAAATTCTTTCCACTCTCCTATCCTCTAGGTGGAATTAAGCTCTTTTCTTCAATCCCCATACTCACTGCACACCCTCCTATTAGACCCGTGAAACACATTGTACCTATTTATGTGCCCGTCTCTTCAATTCCTGAGAGCAGAAACTGGGTCCTATTTATCTTCTGGTTCTTGGCACCACGTAGGTACTAATCAATATATACAAACAAAGGAGCAAAATATAATTGATGATGGCAGTGGGGACCTAGGTAGATTTCCACCAACACTAAGTCCATTGGCAACCTCTTCACCAGTTTCCTCCTAGGAATGTTCTCTTTGCTGGTCTCCAGGAAGACCATCTTCCCTCTTGAGAGAAGTATAAGTACCATGGAAGGTACGAGTTTTGTTTTTCTCCCTCTCAGACATGAATATGACATCATCTGCTCAGTTGGCATGCCCAGGCCATTCCTGATAGTTTTCTCATCGCATACTGAAGGAGAAGAGCCCTTTTCCCTTGATGTCAGCATTTCTGCAAACTCCAGTTTATTCTAGCCAGTGACACTTTTTATCCTTGGATATGTGTCCTCCTTTCCATGGAGGAGTCCCTGTTGGGCCTGAGTTTCTCAGAGCACCCCTTCCTCTGAGCATTGCTTCAGTCTCTCTAAGTATCTCCTGTCTGGGATCATTTGAAGCTTGAGATCAACAGAATTTAATTCTTGGGAACATTTTACCAGAGTTGTCCAAGATGGTGGCAGTGGGCGGAAAGAAAAAGCAACGTTAACAAAGGCAAGTGAAAAGACCTGACAACCTATTAGACAGAGAGTGGGGAGCTGACTCCCAGATTTTTGCTTTGAGACAATGGAGGGACTGGAGGTTCCTGCTGCAGAGACAGCCACAGGAGGAGCTGGAAGAGGAGGAAGGCGAGGAGGGGGAGCAGGCTATCTGGGACTGTTAGAGTCTGAGGTTTCCATGGGAGACCAGGGGGACATGAAGAGGAGGGAACTGGATATAAGAGCTGAGGCTCTGGATGAGAAATCCAACCCCGGGGACTATTAGCGCGCAGGTGACCTTAGGAGCTGAGAGCGCAAATAGGTACATGTTAAAGATGGTGCAGCAAGAAAACAACATGAAGGAGATGGTGAAGGACTGGTGGAGACAGGAGAGCCAGGAGAGGAGCATGAGTTAAAGGCCACTGGAGAAGGAGTTTTGGGCAGAAGGGAAGACCAGCAGCTTTAAGAGATACAGGAAAGTCAGCTCCCATGAGGACAGTAAAGTGCCTGCTGATTCAGCAGCAGAGGGTCACTGAGGACTAAGGCAAGGGCAGTGCCAGAGCCTGGGGGCAGAGGTGCAGGAGGGCTTGCGGGGAAGGTCCACAGGGGCACAGACACAGCAACATGTCTAAAGAGGGAGTCCCTCATCCATCCGCTCACCCAACAAGCCGAGGGGCTACTGGCCCGGGATATGGCAGTGGGCAAATAGGCAAGACCCCTGCCCTCACGGTGTGCCCTTTCAGGAAGACGAAGTATTTTAGAGGGAGGATTTCTTTTAAAGACGGTTGTTAGAATCACCACCCTTTGACAGAGAAGGCCAAGAGAGGTCAGATGGCAACTTGTTCAAGTTCACATGAAAGTCAGAGCTGTGGGTCGTGCCCTGACTCGTCTGGCCTTTTGCTGCCTGAAGGGGATGAAGTTTGGGTGGGAACAGATGACATAGAAGGTATAAGAGGGTGGAGAAGAATAAAGGTGCCAGGTGCAGGCTTATTTATGAGGGGGCTGGGCCTACTCAGATCAAGGTTTCTATTTATTTGAGCCAGAGGTTTGAGAGGAGGCCTGTGGTGGCCCCCACGTTTCCCCACAATCCCACCCCTCTTATTTAGGAGTAAATCTCCCTTTCCTGTGGACATCCTGGTCCACACGGTTCGACTGAGGCTGTACTCATCTTCACATACGCTGGTTAGGGGATGCACCCAGGAACCCGAGCAAGGCTGACCAGCCTTCCACTGTGGGGTTAATATAGAGATGCTGGAAAGAGCCACGGTCTTTCTTCCTCTGTGACAGTGAGCTTGGGGACCAGGGTAGGTCCCTAAGCCATCTTGACTATCTGAAGAAAACACCAGGCAAAGATAAACAAGGTCAAGAAATACAGGAGACCGAGTTCTGATAGCATTGCTTGGCCTCCTGGAGCAGACCTTTCTGAACTCTGCACAGACTTATCAAGAACTCTCCCAGACTTCCCGGTGGCTTGAACCAATGGATTCTCTTTCGCTTCCTGATTTGAGTTGTGTTTCCACACTTGCAGCTGAAAGGACCTGACCAATTATGACAAATATGTCAGCTGTGACTGTGTAACATATATGATTTACTCTTGCAGAAGCTAACTGACTCCAGGGCCTTCCTCCACAGAGCCTTATGTGTTCACCTCCTTCTAGGTCCTGGCCCCGCAGGTGTGGCAGGGAGGTGAGTAAGACTGGAGTTTAGAGAGCCACCGTGGAAATGAGGATGGGAACAAAAGAATCAGCGTCTAGAAAATGATTTACATTCGTTGCTCTGAATCCACAATCATAGGAAACAATTAGCTAGCAACTCCAGGCAGGATTCAGTGGGTACAGACTGAACTGGAGAGACGCTCATGGTACAGGAGCTTGGGGGGTTGGCAAGGGGTGGGGAGGACAGGGTGTATCCTGCATCCTGGGCTCCTCCAACACTGTTCTGGGCTGTGGAGCCAAGGTGGGGCTGGCGGGGGAAAGAGGAAGAGGGGAACAAGCAGTCTGGGGAGGCTGCATGGGTATGAATGTGAGTCTAAAAGCTGCTTCTCATACCTTTCCCATTCCGGCATGGGCGTGTCCCAGCTTGACCACCACAGGGAAGTGGGGCGCTGTGAGCTGTAAGAGACAAGAGGAAATCACTCATTAGCATCCCAGAGTATTTCCACGGAGAGACACTGGGCGCCGCCTGTTTTGTAGAAAGATTCAGTCATCTTCTATTACCTGGAATCCCCACGAGAACGCTTTGACAGATGGTCATCCTGCTGCGGCTCCAACGCGCGAAATGCCAGCAATCTGGGCTTCCAAAAGAAGCCCTGAGCACTTATAAGCAGCCTGCCTGGGGCACCCACCAAGAGACGGCAGGGAGGAACAAAGCGACTGGTTTTGGATCCTGGCTTCACCACTTGTGCAACGTCAGGCGAGTTTTACATGATCTGTGGCCCAGTTTGCTCACCTGTAACATGGGGACAATGAGTGTCCATCCCACAGGGTTGCCGCGAGGATCAAACAAATTATTACATGTGAAGCCTTTACGTTGTAAGTACCCAATGAACCACAGCTTCGTGACTCCCACCATGGTTCTGCCTTACGTTATCCCTCAAAAAACCTTCACGTATCTTGGAACACACTCCTTCCCCCAAGCCCTCACCAGGTCAGCCTGTGAGGTTTCTTAATAGTGGTCATGCTACCACGGGCACAGACATGTACTGGCTGCACCCTATTGGGCACTGTTCTGGGCGATCACGATGTATCATCTCCCTTCGAGAGCCATGCTACTTGTCTTGCTGTTCCCTGTAGTGTCCTTAGCTCCAGGAACATCGCCTGACCCAGAGAAGGTGCTTGGTAATGCAGTCTGTGCTTCATTCAACCAGTCCTCTCAGCAAGACCTAGGAGGCATGCATGCTTCTCTTTAGAGGAGGAGAGGGGCTCAAAAGATTAGGTGCTTACTCAGGACCATGGTCACTCAGCTGGGAAATGAGGGCACCAGGTTCAAACCTAGGCTATGCATTTCTTCCCTTATTCTGTTCGTATATTGTTTGAGGTGAGTTTGCTTGGTGTCTACAAGTCCACTTGGAGGTGCTTGAGGGTAAAGGTTTTCCCTTCTAATTATTTAATAGTAACTTCAGTCTCCCTGCTTGGATCTACCTGGTCAGGGGTAATCATGTCCTACTCTCTGTGCCATCTCTCCTTGGTCCTGGGTTGTCCCTGACAGTGCTGTCTGTACTGACCCTCTGGCTGCCTTGAGAGGAGAGGAAGAAACTGGCTCTTCTCTCTTGGTGCCCAGAGTCTAGTCTGACATGGAGGTGCTGCTGTAGGTGCTTTGAAGGGTCTCCTGCGGGTCGCGGAGTCATTCGATGGGCCTCATCTCATTGTACCCATGCAATGGCTCCATGAGGCAAGCAGGGAAGGTTTTTAATCACCATTTCACAAATAGGAACTCTGAGACTCAAGGTAGGTGCTGGGAAGGGGTGGAATTGGGGCTTAAAGGTGGGCCTGTCAGACTCTAAGCCTGATGTGAAAGGTTTTCACTAAGATCTAGCTCAGGGCTTCCTGTAGTAGATGCTGAATAAAAAAAATTTCCCCCTTTTTGATGCTGATTTTTTTTTAAAGATTTATTTATCTAAGAGAAACAGAGAGAGAGAGAGAGAGAGAGAGCATGAGCACACAAGTGGGGAGAGGAACAGAGGGAGAGACTCTTCAAACAGAGGCTCAGCTGAGTGCAGAGACTGACATGGGGTTCGATCCCATGATCCATGAGCTCATGACCAGAGCCGAAACCCAGAGTCAGATGCTCAAATGACTGAGTCATCCAGGCACCCCCAGGCTATGATTTATCACGTCTTGGTGCTTAGAGAGAACAAATGCATCTTTTAAAAAAGGCCAATATTTGATTTTGATTTCAAAAGCAGTATGTACTCACTATATAAAAAGTTTGGAAAATGTAATAAAGTGTTATGTTGTTATTATACAGAAGACAATAAAGATCACCCTCAGACTTTCAACATCTGTTGGATTTTTTTTTTGACATTTTATTTTACTTTTTTGGTAAATTTTATTTTTTCAGTATTCTAAGATTCATTGTTTATGCAACACACCCAGTGCTCCACACAATACATGCCCTCCTTAATACCCACCACCAGGCTTACCTATTCCCCCTACTTCCCTCCCTTTGAAAATGGTCTTCTTTTTTTTAAATCCACATTTTTTTTTTCTCTTCCCATTTGTTCTACCTTGGGAGTATACTGAATACCCACTTCTGCTTCCTGCTCTTTCCACTTACTGTTCTGTGCTAAGCATATTCCTGGTAGTGATTACTTGTCCATTTAATAGTTATTACAAAATATTTCATATATGAAAAAGACTTAAAGAGCATTATCATGGCCATCACCCCACTTAAGAAATAAACCACTGCCCACATAGATGAGGTCCCTGATAGACTTTCTTACTGTACTCCCTTCTCTCCCACCCAGAGGTAGTCATCATGATATGATTTTATTTATGATATGTTTATTGTTGCCTCACATTTATTCATATTTTAAGTATTATTAACATATTTTAACTATATGATTCTCAAACAATATACAGTACACATGTTTAAACTTTATGTAGTGGTATCAAAACAAACTATTTTTGATGATCTTTTTAAGTACATTATGTTTGTGAGATTCATGCATGCTCCTCTATACGGCTCCTCTGTGTGGATTAGATTTTTACAGCTACATAGTATTTTAGTATATGAACACATTACCATTTGTCTACTTCCTGCTGATACACATTTAGGTGATTTCTATTTTTCCAATAAATGATACTAGTGCATCCCCCCTGAATGTGCAGGGGAGTTTCTCCAGGGCACATGCACAGGAGCGGAATTGCTGGGGCTGGGCAATGCTCTTCTCAGTTTTGCCAGGTATTGCCAAATTTGCTCTCCAAAGTAGTTATACCGACTTACACTCTCACAGGCAGGGAAAGAGCCCCCAACACCTGAGGTTGAAAGAATTAAATTTTACCAACCCAAGGGATGTGAAGTGGAATGAATGGGTGCACTTTCACCAAGTGGCTTTTGTTCCCCAGAAGAGTTGTCATACCCAACCATCCACTCACAGACTCTGGACACCTCCAGAAGTCCAAGAACTTCCCAGGTCACTTCTGGGGCTTTATCTCTATCTCATTTCAAGCTGGAGCACGAGGGATGGGGGTATGGGTGTGCTCTGACTTCCCCTCCACTTTTTTTGGCCTCATTATCTTCCCACATGCTGATGGGTACTGGATAGAATGTGGGTGTTGGAGTTAAACTTACTCTCTAATCTGGGGCTAGATATCTAACCTTTTTAAAACTTAGTTCTTGGATCTGCAAAATGTGAATGATATTGCCTAGCTTACTTGATGGTTGTGGGAAGAAGAAATGAAATAAGGAATGTCATACTGCTTAACACCCAGGGGAGGTTCAAACTCAAAGTGTAAAGTAGGACTGAGGGGAGGAAGGAGCTGACACTAGTTCATGGTAGTAAGGACAGAGGTGAAGAAAGGCTGAATGAAGGAGGAAGGAGAGCAGAGGTTGCTGCTTGGCAGTATGTGATAGTATGGCAGGGGGTGAAATGAAATCCAACAAGGGAAATCTAAAGGAACTTAGCAATCATCTTGCCTAGCCCCCATGTTTCTATGTGGTGGGAAGTAGAATTTCTAGGAATGCTCCCCAAGGTGTCCCACTCTAATCTCTGGAGGCTGCAAATGTGATGAGATTGTTATAAAAAGCCATATAAGGACTGTTTTATGTTATATGGCCCATGTGACCCTAAAATATGGAGATATCTGGGAGGATCTAATCAAATCACATGAGACCCTAAGAGCGGAGTACCATCTCAGGCTGGTGGCAGAAGGGGGAAGCAGAGAGTCAAAGCAGGAGAGGGATTCAGCACACTATTCCTGCTTTGAGATGGGGGTACTTGAGAAGGAATGGGGGTAGCCTCCCAGAACCAAAGGTGGACCCTGTCTGATAGCCAACAAGGAAATGGGGGCCCTAGGTGTACCTCATTGTAAAGAACTGAATTCTGTCCTGACAGGAATGAGCTTGGAAGGGGATCTTGAGCTCCTGAGGAAAACGCAATGTGCTGGAACTTTGATTTCAGCTTTATGACACCCTAAGCAGAGCACCTTCACATGCCAGCCTGGGCTTCTAATCTACAGATTTGTGGGATAATAAAGAGGTGTTCTTTTTGACAGCTTAGTTTGTTAGAGCAGCAATAGGAAACTAATACATGTGTGTGTCCTCCTAGAAACTGAAGCCCAAAGAGTAAAAGTGATTGTTTTCATGCCCCACAATAGCAGAACGAGAAGTCAAGCCCATAAGTTTTAGGACACCTGGTTGACTCAGTCAGTTAAGTGTCTGACTCTTGATTTCAGTCCAGGTCATGATCTCAGGGTTATGAGATTGGGCCCTGCATTGGGTTCTGTACTTGGTGGGTTTTCTGCTTGAGATTCTCTCTTCCTTTCCCTCAGCCCCTACCCCATCTCTAAAATAAATAAAGAAAGAAATAAAATCTTAAAATAAAAAAGAAGTCAAGGCCATGAGTTTTGACTCTCAATCAAGCACTCTGTCTACCAAGGCACACTTCCCTGGGGACCACACGTGTATCTAGGGTACAATAAATTCTTTTTTCTAATTATAATGATCCATACAATAATATTGAATCAAATGAATTCACTGATAGGAGTGAGAAGTACGTGGCTGACACTGTGCTTTATGCTATGAAGGACACAGGAGATGGAGCCAAAATTTCTTATTTTAGAGAGGTAGACTTCATGCCCAGTGTGGTCTAGTATAGGGCAACTCACAATCCTAAGATCAAGACTTGAGCCGATAGCAAAAGTTGGACACATCACCAACTGAGAGACACAGGCACCCTGGGAATAGCATTCTTTTTAGAACTGGATGGGAAGGCTCTAGGCTGGTGTTGGAGAGAAGAAAGAGGCAATTTGGGGCCAGGTTGCTGGGGGCTTTCAAAGCTGAAGGCCAGAGTCTAGATCTCTTGGATGGGCAGTGGGGAAATAGTTCAGATCTGGAAAAGGAGAGTGACCTGCTTGCTGTAGGAGAGATAGAGTGTATTTGCAGACACTGA